AGTCCACAAAGGTAAGAATTTGTTCAGCCTTGCTTGATTAAATGAACTAAAGAAACTGGACCATCACATGACATCAGAGTGATGTTACTGGTAAAGATTGGAAGTTTCTGACAGTACTTGTGATGCTGTGAATCTAGAACTTATGCAGAATGTTTTTCTCACTGCATCAAGTGGGTTTAATTGTAGATTTTTTTGGTTAATAGAATGAACTTGACACAAACATTGCATCTAATTTGTGATAGTGGCAATACAAAAAAAAAATTAAAGATTAAAATGGAAATAAAGTATATTTTTCCTGAAGAGGTTTTTTTGTCTATTGCCAGTAAGGGCATCTCAAACTCCATTTTATTTAGAAATCTTATTCTGACAAGTTACAGAATTAAATTAGACTGCTGTTTCAAGGGAGCAGTTCAAACTGTAAGATGAAGCGAGAAACTGGAAAAAAAACCCTTGTATTTAATATGACTCACTAAGACTTTAATCACAGGTGAAAATATTTGTAGTTTAAAATGGCAGAAATTGAATCCAGAATCAGGAGAGAGGAAAAAAAAATTTGTTGACAAATCTGGAATGTGGTAAGAGAAGTCCACCCCCTGCCCCAATGTTTCTTTCCTGACAGCAGTACTGAAATAACCTTTTGCCTGGTGTATTCTGAAGAAGTGACTTGGGTTGGAGAAGAGCTGTGTGAATGATACTAGTGTTCTGTGCCCTTTTACTAAGATGCCAAAGGCCTTKCTTAAAAGTGTTTGTTAAGAAATGGAGCTAGAAAACTTAAGCTACTGCTTAGTTAACCTCTTATTTTGGAATTTTCGGTTGGACTTGTAGGAAGAGTAGATAATACAGAAGCCTAGCATATATACTATATCCTATCTGATTCTATACTATATCCTATCTTTCATATGTAATGAAAACTCAAAGTAGTCATATAAATGGTAAGTTGAATTTTGACTTAAATTTCAGTAAGAGATCTGAAATCAGGTATTATTGGCTTGCTTAGGTGTTCACTGGAAAATTTGTAAGAGTAGAGAGCACTGATCCAAATGTTAGAAAAAAACCCAAGCAGATACAAGCCTTTTGGACTAATGAACAGCATGAGAAAAAAATCAGGGTGGAAGCATGATCTTCTGAATGAAATAGATAGCAGGTAAGAAGTGCGGTGCTGTCAGAACTGCCTTTTCTGGTTATCTAGGGGCATGAGTTTTATTTTCTTTTGAAGTATGATTGAAGTATGCTGCAGGGAAAGTTTTGCATGGGTGGCAGTATGACTAAAGACTTTTTTTAACAGTACGAATCTGATGCTAGTGAAGTTCTAGTAGGTGCCACAGTATTATCGGGGAAAGAAAAAGATGCAAGATCATCCCTGGAAAGCTTTAGGATATGAAAAAAAAAGGCCTGAAATTAACAGTATTTAAGGCATTAATTAACTCCGTTTGGAAGCAGGACAACTTGATAAATAACCATCTGTATGAATTACGAGCAGATTTTTAAAAGAGATTAAAAATGTTATGATAGAATTTGTATATTCTGGGATTTCTTTTGTTAGCKGCACTTGTTTTTCTCACATTTAAGACTATCTGGAAAAGGACCTAATCTAACTTAAATGTAGAGAGGGAATGTGTTCACTCTTGAGGGTTAATTTATCCTTGACAAATTTAGAGATGACTGTTAAACTGTTTTTTCTCTTTCTGTGTCTGTGAATTCAATTCTTGCAAAATAAATACTGTGCGAGGAAAACAAAGCTGTTTTTAAAAATTCCTGTTGCTGCAGCCAGGTTGCTAGCAAGTTATCTGTAACATACTGTGAAGGTGTGACCAGATGAAGTCTAAAAACTCTAAACTATTGTAAATTTTTCCTTGCTTACCCTGTTTTTATGTATCTGTAAGCAAACATTTTAATATTTGGATTCTAAATATTCCCAGAATTCAAACCAGAATCCAAGCTTGCCTAGTTGTACAAAAACGTAGGAGTTACTGGGGTTGTGAATCAGGGAGGGAATCTGTAGTGTATAGCTGAAGCAAAAAAAAAAAAAAAAAGGGTCAATGCCAAAACTAGATGCTTCTGCCTTGCAAGAAGCTCATTCTTTTTTCCTGTAGCATTGTGATATTGTGAGACTATATCATGGGCCGTTCTGGAAATTGAAAGGTTTGAGCAAAATTATTTTGACTAATATACTTTTTTAAGAAAAGATGAGGACAGGGCATTTTTAAAAACTGGTCAAATAACAGGGTCACAGGATGTGAAACCACTAGGTCATAAGCTGCAGCTGCTTCAAGCACTAGTTGAGAGCAAGTGTGTGTTGCAGGATTGCCCAACATCTGGTTGAGAATTCTTACTAGTAAAGCCTTTAATCACATGCTTGACTTAAAGTGCATACACGTTTGCCATTGTGGAGTATGTATTTGTCTCCCTTTTGAGACTAACTAAAATGTATGGATTGGACTTGAATCTACACAAGTAATTTAAAAATCTGATATATCTGTAGAGTTGGAGGCTCTTGAACTGCTTGTGGGTTACTGACTGCAAGTAAGTGAAGATTGAATTCTAAAAACCTGTTCTTTTTGATATTTTTATTTGCCCTCTTGAGGTTGTGGCTGCTTTCCCTTTTATTGAAATAGGGAGCCTTAGAGGGGTGAGTGTGGGGAGGTGTGTGTGTGTCTGTGTGTGCACACCAGACCTTACACAGGAAATCCTGTGAGGACATTTTGCATCCTGAGAGGATCACTAGTTCTCCTTCTGAATAAGTTTTCACTACTGCTAAGTAGGAGGATGAGCAAAAACTAAATATATACCTATGTCTACATATATATGTATGTGTACATATGTACATATAAAATGATGAAATTCACAATTCTAGGTAAACTTTTAAAGAAAATGTTCTCCTCAATGCCTTTGGTAGTATAATTAATTTTTTTGTCCTGAATTTTTAAGTAAGATAGATTTACTAGTATTTTTTGGTGTTTGGTATGTGGCAGTATGTTGACCTTAGATCTTTTAGCAAAGCAACCATCTTTGTTCTGAACCTGGCCAACTAAGCGGGGGCACTTATCAAATAACTAGTATTCTGCTGGAAAAAACATAGAAATGTATTGCTTGCTGCTTAACAACTAATTAAACATTTATGTGCAGCAAATGCTGTATAGTGTCAAACCCTCCCAATCTTTAAACTGCTTGTCATGCTGCCAATTGAGTTGGTCTTTCACTTTACAGGTGTTGCTTTAATGCACAGTTTGCCCGTAATCCGAACTGCCCTTGTTTGTCTGACATTGTTCAAGTATCAGTTGCATATCTTGATTTGGCTTCATGTGCTTTCTTTGTGTATAGCATTAGAATGGGTCATTGCTTGCTCTTCGGAGGGAATTTTGCAAATCCCAGTTTAATAGTTCCTAGTTTACTCCATCTGTTGATGCATTGCCAGTGTTCAAGTCTGTGCAGTAAATCTTTGTGAGACTTGAGCAAGTTCTACCTCATCATTTGTACAGGCTGAAATCTTAAACTGTGTTCTGTTCTGTAAATCATTTATCTCTCTGCTTTCTAAAAAGTAGCCTACCTTTCCCCTTGAGGCCATTGGTCTTGAATGCATTTATTTTTTTGGCAGGGAGCCATGAATGAATCATAGCCTCGAGGAGCTTACAGTCTGAACTCATCTCCATTGTTAATATAAAATACTTCATGCAGTTATTACAACATTTTGCTATGTAAATTTTTTAAGAGAAGAGGGATTGATTTCAGACATGTTAGTTGCTTTTGAAGTTCCCCAACAGTATGTGGAAATGATTTCTTCTGGTCATACAGCTGTAATCTACTAAAGTAAATGGTGATTGCTGCTCGCAAAGTTGGTGCAGATGCATATGTTACTCTTTTTTGCAGTGAGATGCATTGCTCCTTTCACAAAATTGATCAGATTAGCTTTTAATTCTATTTGTAGTTTTCTTATATCCTCCTGCTTGGTTTCCGTGTTCATCCATTGTTTTGTCTTTCCCTGTTCTTGACTAGTTTTCAGGTCTTTCATACCAGTCTTCAGACACTGCTCAGGCTTAGCTGTTTGAGCATTGATTTTAGTCCGTCTGCCTGTGTATGGTGTGTTCTTTACTGCTGGCTCATTTCCCCTTTTTTTCTACACCTTAGAGCAGTGAGTTCCTGCAGGTGGTTGGCTCTGATCCTTGAAATAACTACCATACTGTCTGTACTTGACTGATGCAAGTGCAGAGCCTGCAGTTCTCACCTGTGCTTCAGAGATCTCTTTCTAGATCTGATTGACCTTGTATGCAAGGGAATTGGACTAGCAGATGGAGTATAGCAGCTGCAGTGTATCATAAACACATGCCCATAGGTTGCATAYGGATGAATATTTTATGGACCCTGTAGTATGCCATAGTTCCTTGGTGGTTTTTTGTTGTTTAACTTTTTGCCTAACTGGAGATATAAATATGGATATGGAGACCACTATTCTTAAGCAGCTCAGGGAGTTGAAGTGTGAGGGCCAAATACTTCAAACTGATTGAAGAAATAATGTTCGAGCCTGTTCTGACTCGGGAAACCCCCTAGCACAAACATAGCACTTGGTGAATATCCAGTAAGGAGGAGTAGTGGGRTCAACCTGAGTTGTGACTCATACATTTCCCCAGCAATTAATTTAAAAATAGAATTGAAATTGAAACAGGCTTTGAAGGTTAAAACATCAGATCTCTGTGTGTGAATAGTTTTTTAAATGGGTAAGGTGTTTATAGAGGACAAAGCATTCTTCGTTTTCAAGGTCACTTCTACTGTTTACAATATTTCCAAATATTGCAAGATGATTTTTCTTTTCCTTATGTACTACTGGAATAAGAAACATTGCCTTAATCTTATATTTCTGATACAGTTTTAATATGAGTGAATAGCCACTCTGTCATTTGATACTGAAGTTCCATAAAATTCTGCAGTGACCTGGTTTACCAACCTTGCTCTCCTCAAGAACAAAGCAAGCAAAAAGTACCTGCGGCTAAAYGTTCTGCAAAAGCAGAATTAGTGGTGTTCATGTTTCTTTTTTGCTCTGAAGATATCTTATTGTTTGCTTGAAGATTATACTGCTGTTAGAATTCTGATCCAACTGAAATTATTTTGTCTCTTTTAATCTTCTGTTGGATGGTGGGGCAAACAATTATGAAGAAGGCAAGCTTTGTCTTGAAGCAGGTAATAAATTAAGCCTTCCGTCAACTTACAGTTCGGATCAACTTGTCTGTCTGGAATAACTTCAGTTTAACATATTATGCTCTAATGAAATAAACGATCTTTTTTAAAAAAGTGTATTTTTTACATCTTATGTACTACAGTGTTTGGAGTTTGGGTGTATTTGTGTTTCTAGGTAAGAACTTTTGAGGTGCAGTGCAAATTAACCTAGGTTCTTACAGTGAAGACAGTTTAGATTCAGAGTCTAGCCGTGTTAACACTGAAGAAGAAATACTTACTTGCTTTAGTTAAAATATATTTTGAGGTGATTTTTGAATCTCATTTATGAAAATATTTTTTTCCTGAAAGATGATATGGTTAGAGAGATGCTTTATAACTACTGACAGTATGAAGTAATGRCATTATTAAAAAAGCATACTTGTGATAATTGTGGTAACATTTTGGAAAATGTTCCTTTTGTGGTGCAAAATCATCTGTGYGGAGTTTTTATTAGTATATTTTGCAATTTTGTTTATCCTTAAGGTAACCTTATGCATTTGTATGTTACAGAAAACTACTGCTGGTGTTTGGAGAAACAAAAGTAAAAATGCAGTAGGAAACTGCAAGGACTTGGATAAATTCCTCTTTACAGGCAATGAATGCCAGCTGGCCAATCTGCCTTATATGGACATGTAAAGGAAAAAAAAACTCCTCTTTGTAGCTTTATAGTTGTATTGTTGACTGAAGGAACACAGTACATGCCCCCTGCTGCTGGCTTATGAGCTGAAATCACTTGGAAATAGGTTGACAATACAGGTTTGAGCCCCTTTCCACATTCTATCCATGGTTAGTTAACACTAGTAAGGTATATCATTGCTGTGGTCCACAGATAAGGGGATAGTTGCTCAGGGATTTTTTTTTGCCAGCTGTTATCATAGTAGATATGTTTTATTTTCTTAGTTGGACATGGAACAGATGTCAAGATTCATTTAAATAATAATTCCAAGATTAATGATTGAGTAGGTTTGTTTAAAACAAAGATGCCATTTTCTTACAGACTACAACTGCTTTTAACATACCTTTTTTCCTCTCTTGTGTCAACAGGCTTTTCTCCCCACTCTGTCTAAACTGTTCTAAATTGTTAACTGTTCAGAAAAATCTCTCAAAGCATGTCCAGAAATGACCCAGCAGCTTAAGCAGCTTGTGTTGTGAATGAAATCCTGGTGTCTCTCCATACAACTGTGCTAAGATTGTTCCACAAGTGAAAAGGTAGTTGTTGATTGTATTCTAAACTGAAATACCCACTAGTAACTTTGCCTCAACTCCCTTATGCATTCCTCRTACACAGTCATTTAGCCTTCAGGTGCTGATTAAGTTGTGCTTCCTTGTTGTGAAGTGCAGAAAT